TAATATATTTTAGATGTTTTTCAGATATAACTTATGTATCATAAGACTTACTCTTTTCAAGTATAAATTTAATGATTTTTATTGTATTCATGCAGCTGTGAGACCAGCACCACTAATTCTAGAACACTTTTATCATTCCATTCCTATTGATTTTTAGAGAGATTTGACTGTAGTATTTTTCCCTGGAAAAACCCTTATGAGGGTTTTTTTTATCTCTCTTTTAAGATTTTCTTTATCTTTTGACAGAGAGAGAGAGAGAGCACGAGACCATAAGCAGAGGGACCAGGAGAAGGAGAATGTAGACTCCTCACTGAACAGGGAACCCAACACAGGGCTCAATCCCAGGGTCCTGGGATCATAACCCGAACCACAGGTGGACGTCCAGCCAACCTTAGGAGCATTTCATATCAAACTTATGATCGTCTCATAAAGCCAGCTGATATATTTGTTTCCCATATATTTGTTTCCCTATAAGAGTTTAGGTAATACTAGCATTATTTCTTCCATAGATATCTGAAAAAAATTCACCCATAAAGCCATATCTCCTGGAGTTTATGCTGTTGGGAAGTCTTTTTTCCAGCACATTTTTCATACACTGTAGACTACATGTGTGTATATATATACATATATATATATGTATATATATACATATATATATTCATACCTCGTAGACTTTATATATATATATATATATACATACATACATAGATATGTACATCTATATGTACATATACACATAATATAGTACACAATATTAATATGTAATATTAATTGTAATGACTCTTTCCTAAGTGAACACCTGCATGTAAACAGCACTCAGAGAAGATTTAGTCCGTTTTACCACCTCAGAAGCCTCCCCTATACCCTTTCTCATTTATTGACCATTTATTGGGGTTCTATCACCAAAGCTTAGTTTTGGCTCTGCTTGAATTTTACATTAAAGGAATCAAAAAGCATGTACTCTTTTGTGTCCAGCTCCTGTTAAATGATATGTGTAGGAGATCATTCACGTTGTTGCATATAAGATTAACTGGATCTTTTTCATTGTATTATATTTCATTGTGTGAACTTAACAATTAATTCGTAAATTCAGCTGTTTATATGTCAGTAGTATTTTATGCGTGTGCATAGGCAATAAATGCACACATATACACACATATAAATATTCAAATGTTTATATATATGCGCAGCTGGATAAAACGTTTACATGTTCTATGTAAACAGTGTTGACATTTCTCTACGTGGAATTGTTGGGTATGAACGTGGTCAGTCTTAATAGATCCTGCCCAAAGATTTTATACAGTGAGTGGACAAATTTACTCTTGCACCAGAGGCATATGAAAAGTCCAGCTGTTCCATATCTCTGCCAACCTGGTATTTATCACGTGTTTAAATTTTAGCTGGGCTGGTGGCTCACTGCTGCTTTCTTTTGCATTTTCCAAAACACTGAGGATGCTGAGCACCTTTCATATCTTTGTGTAGTGCCTGTTCAAAACTGTCTTCCAATCTTGCTAGTTTGTGTATCTCTTTATTGCTTTGAGGAATTCGTTATCCAATCTCAGATTTTCCAAAAAGCCTAATACACATATTTTCTTCAGGCTAAAATTCATCCTTTGCTTTCTTATGATGTTTCTTGATGATAGATAATGTGCACTTTACTAGTGTCCTTTAATAAAACTTACTATGTCTATCCTTTCTGGCCACTACTTTCTGTGTTCTCCATAAGAAAACTTTGCCCATCATTTTATCTTTCAAGTTAAGTCTGTGATTCATCTCAAATTAATTTTTTGTATGGTGTAGAGTCTGGTCAAGGAATTTGTTTGCTCATTTTGTTTCTTTGTTTTTCCTAATGGATAGGCAATTCATCTAATACCTTTTTTTTTAATTTAAATTCAATTAGCCAACATATAGAACAGCATTAATTTTGGATGTAGAGTTCAATAATTCATCCGTTGCATATAATGCCCAGTATTCATAGCAGTAATATCCACAATAGCCAAACTGTGGAAGGAGCCAAGTTGTTCTTCAAATGATGAATGGGGTAAAGAGGATGTGGTACATATATACAATGGATATAAAGGATGAATAGCCACCATTGGCATCGTCATGGATGGAACTGGAAGAGATGATGGTAAGTGAAATAAGTCAAACTGAGAAGGACAATCATCATATGATTTCACTCATATGTGGAACATAAGGAAGAGCATGGAGGACCATTGGGGATGTAGGGAGAAGTGAATGGGAAGAAATCAGTGAGGGAGACAAACCATGAGAGACTCTGGACTCTGCAAAACAAACTGAGGGTTACAGAAGGTAGGTGGGTGGGGTGATGGGGTAACCAGGTGATGTTTATTAAGGAGCACATGTATTGCAATGAACACTAGTTGTTATACACAACTAATGATTCATTGAACACTACATCAAAAGCTAATTATGTTGGCTATTTGAACATTATGAGAAATAAAATGACACCTGCAAAAACAAAAAACAAAAACAAAATAGCAACCTTCGGTTTGTTTCCTAGAGTTGAGACTCTTCATGGTTTGTCTCCCTCTCTGATTTCTTCCCATTCAGTTTCCCTCCCCTCCTTTATGATCCTCCATGCTGTTTCTTATATTCCATATATGAGTAAAACCATACGATAATTGTCTTTCTCTGATTGACTTATTTTCCTCTGCCTAATACCACATCTTTTTTCTCCATTCATCTGTCTATGGACACCTCAGCTCTTTCCATAGTTGGGCCATTGTGGACATTGTTGCTGTAATAGCATTTATCTAAAAAACCATTTAAGAAGGACTCGTTCTAGGGCCGCCTGGGTGACTCAGTGGTTTAAAGCCTCTGCCTTCGGCTCAGGTCATGATCCTGGGTTCCTGGGATTGAGCCTTGCATCAGGCTCTCTGCTCCATGGGGAGCCTGCTTCCTCCTGTCTTTCTCTGCCTGCCTCTCTGCCTACTTGTGATCTCTGTCTGTCAAATAAATAAATAAAATCTTTAAAAAAAAAAAAAAAAAGAAAGAAAGAAAGTAAAAGGAAAGACCGGTTCCCATAGATCACAGGGCAATAGCATAATA